CCTCCCCCGCCCAACGCCGTGTTGGCGAGGTCTCCGGCAAGGAGACACAGGGCCAGATGTTGAGCTGATGCGCAGCGTACCGGACCGCAAACGGCCACAAAATATGGGGAGCAGCCGCATGGATCATGGAGGTACGAGCGACCTCTATGACTAAGCCAATGTGGCGCTCAACAACCCCATTCTACTGCGGAGACGTCATTTTGTCGGCCAGCTTCGTGGCCAGCTTCGCCGTTGTCGACATCGACAAAGCCGGCTACCCAGGCCGACTTGATCCCCCGAGTTGGCTTCGTCGACTTCAACGAAGTTGGTTAATCGCCGAAGCCGCCTCTGCGAAAGTCAGCTCCACTGAGGTCGACCAACCAAGTCGACTCGCTCCTCTAAGTCGGCGTCAAGCACGAAGCCTAGTCTGCTGCATACCTTACATGACGGACTGTCAGAATGTGATATTTGTCTAGTCTGCAGTGGGGTACTCTATAGTGAGTACAGCCCGGTTAGGGTTTGCTATTTGTATCCCAACTGCTTGCTAGTGAAACCCCTTCCTTTTATTCCTGTTTTACCTAGCTAATTTGACACGGACAACGAAGTTGCTTTCGCCCAAGCGAGGGCGGGGCCTTTTCTCGTCAACAATACCAAAGTTACTTAGCTCAATGCAGGCCCTCAGATTCGTTTTCAAGCTGTCTGATTCGTCAGACTTAGTACACATTTCTAGTCTGATCAACCAGACTTGATACCACAAAAAAATATGAAATTCAAGAGTTCAAACATATAAAAGTCTGATAAAACAGAGCTCACATAGTATTGAAGCTTACCAACCAGCCTAAAACGAGGCGATACACCCGCGCCGCAGCACTGCTGTCAGTGTTTCAGCATGACTGACAGGATGAAATGATACTTCCAGCGCTAGTTGCGGCTGTCTGTGCAGATTTCGCATAGGTACAATCTGAGTAGGCAGCCCAAACAGGATCAGAAATCAGAGTAAACTGCGAGGAAAAATCTGAATTTTCAGACAAGGCCTTTTTTTTTAATGAATATTCAAAGTTTGCTGCAAAAAGAACTCTGAACTTTCAGAGTCCACTTAAAAAAAAAAGGCTGAAATATCAGACTTTTTTAGGCAAATCAGAGAAATTTCTCTGACTTCTAGGTGCCTGGCTGAATGGTTGGACTAGTGGGAGACAGGGTACAAGTAGGAATGTCGAGAGAAATTCCGTACATTATATTATATACCTCATGCAGCCTAGCGAATTCCAACAAATATATATACCGTACATATTTTAATAGCAACCACGTCAATTTTGTTGACACTTTTGTACGATGAACGATGAAGACCAAGGGTCAAGAAAAACTTAAGAGTCGAAATTGGTTGAAGCATCGAGACCGATACATGCAGAAGCATCAGCGATGGAAAAAGGCGGGATGCGGTTTAAAACGAGTTCCTGCGCTGCACGGTTGAGATTCAATGCAACAAGGGAACATACCCTTTAGAGTACATAGATAGCTATGTCGTATCCGATTCATGTGTAGTCTTACATAAACCTGTCAGAATACTAAACAGAAAGATAGAACATGAAAGAAGGGTTTGGACTAGCAGCAGCAAGATATATATAGGAAACCCTAAATTGGGCTGTACTCGCTACAGAGTACCCCACTACAGGCTAAACAAATACAACATTCTGATACACCCCCATAGCCAAAGTGGAGTGTAATCAGCACAACAAGCAGGCAGAGCAATAGTTCACAATGATAAGAAGAGCTAGAGGCTATCACGGAGGGCAAGTGAGGAGGAGGAGAGACTATGGGGGCGAGAAGATGGGAGGCGACGGCTGAAGCTGTAGACACACGGGCAACAGGAGCGGCGCGCACTGTGGCTACCGGCGACAGAGCCCCGGACTGCAGGAGTAACAGGCTCCGCGGCTAAGACGAGCGGCAGGAGCAACGGACCCACGGGCGACAGGCGCAGCAGGCTCTCTGGGCTACGAGCAGCAGAGCCCCGGACTACAGGTGCTGCGGACGACAAGACGGCTGCCTCCACTCAACCTCCCCCAGCTGTCCCACACCCCTTTGTCACACCCCTTGCTGTTCCCCTAGCACTGCTCACACGCCACCCCCCTAGTACCACTTCGACGGCTCCCACACATCCACCCCCCTCAGTGGCAGCTGCAGTAGTGGGAGACGGAGGAGGAGGAGGAGCAGGGGACGGCGCACACACCCCCAGACTCGCCACCCCCAAACCCTAACACAGGCAGCACGGGGCAGGAGCGCGGGTAGCGGGCGAGCGGAAGCGGGGCGGCGCGCTGGTCCCTGGGGCGCCTCGACGGGCGACGGGAGGGGAGGACGCGCGGGTCCCCGGGGCGCCTCGACGGGCGACGGGAGGGGGGGACGCGCGGGCCACCGGGGCGCCTCGACGGGCGACGGGAGGGGGCGACGCGCGGGCCCCCGGGGCGCCACGACGGGCAACGGGAGGGGGCGACGCGCGGGCCCCCGGGGCGCCACGACGGGCGACGGGAGGGGGGCGACGCGCGGGCCCCCAGGGCGCCGTGACGGGCGACGGGAGGGGGGCGACGCGCGGGCCCCCGGGGCGCCACGACGGGCGACGGGAGGGGACAGCGCGCGGGCCCCCGGGGTGCCACGACGGGCGACGAAACTGCCGCGCGCTCCTGGGGCACGCGGCGGGCAGGAAACCGCAACGCGCCCCGAGCGCGTGGCGGGCTGAAGACCGCCGTGCGCCCCGAGCGCGCGGCGGGAAGATAAAACGCCACGCGCGTAAGGTGCGCGGCAGGAAGAAAACATCGCGCGCCCGGGGCGCGCGATAGGTAGGACAGCAGCGGAAGCATAGGGTGGGCCCACCCACAGGATCGACCAGGGAGGGTCGACCTGCTCTGATAGCATGTCAGAATACTAAGCAGAAAGATAGAACACGAAAGAGGGGTTTGGACTAGCAGCAGCAGGATACATATAGGAAACCCTAAATTGGGATGTACTCGCTATAGAGTACCCCACTGCAGGCTAGACAAATACAACATTCTGACAAAACCCATATATGCCTTTTCTATTATCGCTTCTGTCATTTTACATTCACTCTGGTGGGTGTCATTCATTTTCACTTCTATTCAAAATTACCTGCGCCAAATCTCTCCCCCCCCCCCCCCCCCCCCCCCCCCCTCCCTTCTTCCCCCCCCCCTCCTTCCCCTTTTGTGGGATTGTAACAAAATTCATTCTCGCTTTCATGTTTGATTTTAAATTCGTGTCCATGTTTTTCCTTTGTTTTGCTTTTTTTTTTTTTTTTTTTTTTTTTTTTTGGTTTCCAAAGAGAGTTGATACTAGTAACTCAGTTATCAAGGTCGTTAGCTTAGTAAGTTGGCAAATACATATAAGTACTGCAAGTGCTAAGTGTATTAGAAGTACCTGCTTATTGACTTCTGAAGAGTACTTAATGTCGAGAGGTCCTAAACTGGGGTTGGGCTGGGGCCAGGCCTCACGATAGCAGGGTGCACATCCGGAATTTCGTCGAAATTCCGGATGTTTTTGGCTCAAACACGGATTCTGGTTAGGCTGAGCCGGGAAACATCCGGACACATAAAGGGTGATTTCGACGAGCCTTCGGAGCCTTCCAAGCGAGTTGAGAAATCGCCCTGAGGTTCCGGACCTGGCCACGAATCGTCCGTGCCGGAATTGACTCCGGGTCGCATGACCACGAAAACCACAAAAACGAGCATGCCCAAACACATTCACAAGTAAACCTCCACGTACAATATTCTAAGCCAATCAGAGGAGCACATTTACTCCATCACTTCTAGCACGAATGTCGAATTCAAACTAAGTCAGCAGGAGATTGTAGCACTTTTCCTTCTCCCGCAGAATTCGTGCAGCAGCACCAGCACGTACATACATATACACAGAAGTGCACCACCCCACAATCTGACTTTTCAGCGTCCAAGCAAGCAAAGCAAGCAAATTTGACTTGACAATTAGCAGTCAATGCGGCGGCGCCTCCAACTTGGCAATTAGTTGGCGACTAGGAGGAGCCTTTCCTCTCACCACTAAGGTACTTAGGGCCAGACATATTCCCGCTCATGTATCCGCCGTTCATGGCTTCTCCAATTGAGGACAGCAGTGCTGTCCCTGTTCAGCTAGAGGATGTTGCTACCGATCCCGACACTACCCTTTCTTTAAGTGTTGCTGAGACAGTAGATGTCATGCTTAGTGATGATGCTCCCTCACCCCATGGGATTGACCTTAACGTGGAGATATTAGAATCTGAACCTGAGAGCACTCATGAAGATTCTAGTACCCCTGCTAGTACTTCTACTAGGAGAAGGACACGCCAGACACGTCTCTCATTTGCTACCTCTCCGGACATCGCGGAAAAGGGAATCTGCGTTTTTTAGTGTCCGAAGGTTTTTCTGCAACCAAGTTGCGGGTTTCTTGCGATGAGTGTCCAAAAAACAACTGCCTGGAAAAGTGACTTTCTGCATACTAGTTGACAAACCGCATAACAGTGACCAAATGTCACGGAAATGTTGCAACGGCAGTCATACCGGCCACGGACGCGCCGCGCCCACATGTTCACAAAAAACGCATGCGCCCCGGCACTACATCCAAATCGCGTACTCGACATTGCGTCGCACACCTCACCTAATATCCATCGCATACCCGAAAACGCCATACATCTTAGGTTAAAAGAGAACCGACACACTACACTGCGCAAAGCGTCTCGTGGCCATTTCCATAAACTGCATACATAAATGCCACCGACTGCAACCAACACACAGTCCACTAAAATCTCCAGAAACCACATAATACAAGTAAATAGCACACCCACAACCAACCAAAAAAACCCACCATGCACTAAAACTCGCACACTTGAAAACCCAAACCACAACGTCTATACAACAAACACCAGGGGATCAGCAGGCCCACCACTAGGCTTAAAGTCCTGCAACATCACCTCCATCAGAGACATCAACACGGCCCCCACCTGTCAACAACATGGACACAGCACCTTACGCCAACGACGACCCTTCGTCAGGCGTCACGGCTGTGCGGGAACGCTTCACCGGAGTCCTGCGCAGACGACTAATAACCTCCTGGTTCAGCGCGCCAACTTCAGCAGGCACAGATGCAGGGGGGATGCCGAGCGCATCGGCATGGCGTGTGTACGCCTGAGTCACAGAACGAATCACGCGCCTCCTGCTACGTGGGTCCCGCATCAGTGGTCCTTCGGGGATGCACAATTCCCCTCCGCCGCCACCAGAACCACTGGAAACCGGCTCAAACTCGATACCCGCTTCCTCCAAGAGTGTCTCGTCGCAATCCACATACTCAACGGCGCTCATATAAGTACCGAGCTCAATCTTGAACTGCTCGATCAACATCTGCAAATCAACTGTGGTCGACACCAACGGCTCGTACATCCCAGCCCCAAACGTGCCGTGCAGGTGTCCCAAACTGGACGTCCACGAGACCGGGACACAGCCAGCACGCCACCAGCTATGCTGCATGGTAGCGCTTGAAACTTGCGCCCACGCCTCTCCGATCCATAGCAGCATATCGTAATTATCCACAACCGCAAGCGGCGCCGAATACCTGTGCTGACACTCACTCGAGCGCAAAGCCCTACGCATGAGGAAAACACGGTACTGCACTTTGAACGCATCAACGACGCCGTTCAAATGAGGCATGCACATCGCGGGCACGGCGCCAACGACGTTAACAATCCGCATACATAGTAGGTGCTCCACATGAAAACCGTGCTCCACGGTCGGCGGTGACACTGGCTCCGTGATGCGATGCCCCTCGTTGCACACGAGGATGACCACTCTCCGGTCCTTGCTGAAATGATCGTTGTTTATCTCGTCCATGTACTCTGTGAATATCTGCCAACAAACAAAACCACGACGTACGAAACTGGATTGAACCGCGGCACAGACGTAAACCCACACATGCGCCAGCACGATCCCACAATACAAATGCATGTGCAACCTCCATCCCATACCTCGGGGGTCAATCTTCCGCTCTTCGTGTAGCGCACGACCACCTCGAGTTCACCCGGGTTTATCCTGCTGCTGTCGGGGCGCTCATCAGGGCGTAGAACGACGAGAGGCAGCGCCGTGCAGTTGCCAGCCGCGTTGAATAGGATGCCAACAGTTATGACGCGCTCCCCGCATATGAGGATACGTGGATACTCCTGAAGAGACCACTTCGGCAGACGCGAAGGAAGGAAATGCATCTCCACAAACCAAAACACATCATCGGGTCCAGCCTTCATCGCCTCGACACTAGCCATCCTGTAACGGAGGGTACACGTATGCTGCCGTGACAATCTGGGAGAAGAAATGTGGAACTGATGTTCAACAAGGAGATGGCTCCCCTTCTTATGAGAAAGTCGCCCGCCAAACTAGAAACGGCAAACCGAGTTCTGAACTCGGGAACCGCAACCCAACACCGATAAGACATGTACTTGGAGGCACCAGGTGTAACACGACCATTGGCTGGTTAACGGAACGCCAACTGCATATCCACTCGAGCACAATCGAAACAAACGGGCGTAACACATACCACAAAACCCAACACCACTACTACACAACAACCCTCTACAACCACACGAACACACCCAGCTCGATTACAACCGCACATCGCACCTGACGATGTACATTCGTTGGTTGACGCGTTGCAAGTGGTCAACCCGAGAATACCGTAATCCACACACAACAATAACTACCAACCGCGTCGTCGGAACATACGTATGGGTTCCACGTCAACCGGAGACACAATCCCGCATACACACACCACAATTCGGCCACACACCACGACCACAAGAAATGCATACCCCAAATGTCCGCGATAATGCACTGATTAAGCCAACCAAACTCGAATACCACAAAAATGAAACAAAGCCTACCTCTAGCACATTTACATCATACAGCGCACAACACATATGTTTCGCAACAGCACGTGTACTATCGTACAGGCTCAGCAGTTGGCAGCGTAAAACCGTAATGCTAGGCTCGTTTTATTTCACACGGTTGTAACAGCTACGTACACATACGCGGACCAGCGTTAGAGCGTAGACAGACAAGCAAAGATCCACAAACAAACCACCTAGCAGCAACCCAAACAAACCCCTACAAACAAACAAGGTAGACGTGAATCTATGCCACCCTCCTTACTCACACAACAGGAACTTGTTCAGCAACAACACCTTGCTGTTGCTGTAAGAGGGGCAAACATGCACCACTCGTAAAATGCTTTCCACCTCCACCGCGGCGTATCTACCGTCGTCACGCTTGGGGCAGAGCTGCTTGCACGTGGTGAGCGGACACTGACTAACCTCCTCGTAATACCTCAGGTACACAAACGCCTTCCTAGTGCCTTCCGCGTCAGTTGTGGTGAAAATGCACAGGCATTTAGCGTACCACTCTCCTTTGCATGAGGCGTCCATGACAGCCACGTCCGAAAACCATTTCTCCCTCGGGGAGGCCTTCACAAACGTGCCTTTGGGAACCAAGGAGCCACCCTGGGTGCGTGGAATGGCCAGTGCGTTGTGCGCCTGCATACAAAACCGCATACCACTATCATGTCGAAATTTCAAGTTTGGATAAACCACACGCGTGGTCAACGCCTGCGAATGAACCCAACCCCGACACTGTAATACTTCAAAAACCTTACCTGCACTGAGGTCGCACTCAAACCCAGTGCATGGATCTCATCGCACAGGAACTTCATTTCCTCGCCCAGCGCACAATTGTACTCCGTCATTACTGCATCCGGTGGACCGCTAACCCACATAGCTCGATACTTCTTCGTCAACACTAGCTCGTTGGTGCGAGCGGCCTGCCATGGAAACCCAGACAGCACAGTAATCCCTCATGGTTAGAATGACCCACGTGCCCGCAAAGCATGTACATACACTTTCGCTGCACCTCCCCATCCATTTTCCGCACCTCACGTAAAGCCGAGACGTATTGCCGTCCGCCGCCCGCATCCGCTGCCACTTCTCTAAAAATCTCACGCTGCACGTCTTCTTCGACAATTCTTCGTGGTATGTCCCTCCAGTTGCTACCCCGCACGGGTGTCTTCACTGTGCTTTTGTGCGTTCGCTCCCACATCTCAGTGTTGTAGTGGTGAGGCATACCACGGGTCACAACGCTCTCTAGCATGTGTTTTATCATATGCACCTTCGGCAGTTCCCAGTGTGACTTCTGTGTCTTGAAGGCGCGCGGCAGCAAATCCACCAGTCTGTGTGACATGATGGTGAGAGGAATACAACAAAACTCCCCGCATTAGTGGCACAATGTGACGCCCACAAAATTCAACCAATAGTGGGCACAGTAACAAGTGCATAAAACTCAGAACACCGCTCAAAAACTTACTTGATAGCGTGTTGTCGTGCAATAGCGAGAGTAGTCTGAGTGTGAGAATCAACCCCCAGGAAGGACTTGTAAAACACGGCGTACATGCGGAAGGCGCGGACCTGCAGCGCTCGCAGCTCTCCGGCCTCGTCACTCTTGGTAGCACTCAAATCCGCTATCAATATTGGCACGATTTGCATCATGCTCCGGTGCTCGAATGCCGCGTAGTTTGCACCAGATCGGAAAAACGAGTTCCCCCCCGGTATACGAAGAAGAACGCTCGGTGTGTCTCGTTTGACCCCCTTCTTGCGCCTGCGTTTTAGAGGTTACGGCAACACCCGATATCAACAAAATTCCCTAGACAATCGTTATCAAATCATGAACAGCAATGACAGCGCGCCTCAGAACAAATACTCTCACCTCTCCAACACGCGCATTTCTGCCTGGCCAAGGGTAGACAGAAACGCATCCATCATGTGGATGAACACCCCAGAGTCCAGAACGTGCAACGTGTCAGCGAGGCATGCCAAGTACACGTTCCCCCACTCGGTGTCCGCGAAATTCCATCTTTGAAGGACACACTGAGAACACAGGCAACATACAAGTCAAAAGGCAATCGTAAATCTTCAGGGTGCATCACCAAACACTACCCCATAAGCATCCGGCTCACACACCTCGATGGGATGTGTTGACCACGCACTCCTGATCTTCTTGGCGTCTTTTTTCTTCTGACATGCCAGAATATTCCGAACAATCACTCGCTGCTTGTGCGGTGTCCTTGGATCTGTAGCGCCAACCAGGCGAGTAAGTTCACCCTCCTTGGCGTAACATGCGGTACAAGGCCGATGAGTGCCCTGCTGAAGAGTGGCAGACGCTCTGCATGACTCTGGAAAGTCGCCCGGTATTCCGAAAAGGCATGGGATGGCTTTTATGGCGGCACCCGATGCGTCTGAAACATAAAAGAACCTCATCGGAGCGCTGCACACGGACCACAAAGCGAAAACCATAAGGCGAGTTTCCTAAGAGAAGTATGTGGTACACGGAACAGTCGGTACGCAAAGTTCAGTTGGGTATGCGGTAAGTAATCATGCACCGTGCGTGCTTTTTTAGACAAAAACAACATACCATGCAGACTCCCTCATAAGAGGCGCGAGAATTATCTTCATTGCCTCCTGGAAGACACGTGTTTTCTCAGTGGATGACGCCCGTTCAGGTGGAAACGGCAACACCCCCGCTAGTGTGTGCCCAGGTTCTAGCCACCGCAGCTCTTCTGGGATGTTCACGAGAGTAATCAGCACTGGCCATGCATTCCGCCTTCCATTCCCTGACGCCTGGGTGCTGTCGCTGTACACGATGACGCCCAATATCAATGCATTGTCGTCGTTCACCTCGCGCTGTGCGTAACAACAGAGCAATGTTAGCACTGGATACCACTTTAATATTGCCTTGACACGTATAAAGGTTTGCAGAAGATAAAAAACCGCATACCTGCGCTGCATGCATCCACTCCCCCGTTTCTGGTCCTTGGTAGATCCGCTGGTTGGTTTTGTGATAAACCCCTCCTTCGCCACAAAGTTGCGTACTAGTTTCTTCACAATCTGCACGTAATGTGTGGGAACATGCACGACATCGCGTAAATCCAAGATAACACCATGAATCAATGCTGTTGGGACATATGCCTATACAACATACCATCTCTGTATCACGATAATGAAGCAGCAGCTTCTGTTGTACTCCTTTGGGCCCGAACACAACAATCTCCTCAATTTTCCAAGGCACCATGTCCGGTGGAGCACGGGCCTTACCCCAACGCCTTACATCCACAAAGTTGCGCCATCTGCGGAGGGCCCATAGGTTGAACCTCGGGTTTCTGAAAATGTTGAGCAGACGATTAACCTCCCTTCGTGACAGATCAGCGTCCCGGAAGAACAGATACAGCTCCGTGAGAGTATCAAACACCTCATCATCGTCTGAAACCACCGAAGATGTGGAAACGTCATCGCTCGCTACTATGTCTGTTGCCGGATCGTTGCATTCTTCAGTTTGGGGAGGAGCGTCGCTGGTGGGCGTGGAATCACGCCTCGCCCTTGAACGAGGTGGACTGCCCTGCCTGTGCCCGCCATAACAATCCCTGGCGTGAAGGTACGCGTCTAATAGAAGCGCCTCGAGGTTTCTTTTCAACTTTTTGGCGCATATCCCTTTCTTGGAGAGATGAGACTGCAACGCGTTGTCGTCTTTAAAAACAGTGCGGCAGGCACCGCATCTATTGCCAGTCATGATGAAAAATTCAAACACTAAACGAGCTTCTCTGAGAAAGGTAGTGCTTGTACCAGTTTCAGGTATGCGGTTTCCATTGCTTCAACCCGTGTTGGTAGACAGTTTTTGCCCAGTACATTTTCATTTGTCTTCGCCAATTGGTCGTCGGGATTGCGCCCATCCAAACACCAATGGGTTGTGGGCAAAATACTTGGGGTTTCCGCATACCAAACGCGATAAGGTTCGTGCTTCACTTAGGACCACAACGGCGCATTATGAGAGTTTGAAGTCCATCAATTACTGGTCGACTAGGTTGCCACGTTGACAGTAAGGGCATTTTGTACGGTCGCGATACGCGTTTTAGACTTTCGCGCGCCTTTGACTTAAGTGCATGGTTTCCCATACCCATCCTTAACGATTACGAGTTTCCGCATTTGGCTATTCGAACACGAGCGAATTTCCTTTGCGCTCTAGTTTTGACGTTTCGTTGTACAACGCGTATAAAGGTTTTGCGTCACAGCAGTTGCGCACCAACTGATCACATGTTCTGGATTGAAACACCCGATCGGTACACCAATGGATGGCCAGATTGGTGCACCAACTTCGACAATTTCATACAACCATTGATCACCGCAACTCGGCCACCTCGACCAATGACATCACAAACGAGAAAAACTCTTGCACCACGCGGACAGATGTTACACACGTAAGCGATCAACCACTTCGCAAAACTGACAAGCGTGACATGACCATTTTCCCACTACAGCCATCTCTTCGATGATCGTTTTCAATACTAGGGTTCTATGGCAAGTAGATCTTAGGGTTTTATTAGTGGAGTAGATTCCCTGTCGTACCCAGTCTGCTGCGCCATCGCAGTTGGATTAGTAAGACATTCCTGTTTGCAGTTTACGCCTCAAGCACGCGTTGACCGCACATGTAACAGGCCGCGCAGACATGGCACTTGCAAAGCAGCTGACGAGAAAAAATGGTAAGGGCGCGGGTGGGCAGGCACGTACTAGATCGACCGATGATGTGCGTGAGACCCGTAGCAGTCGCGCGTCAACGTTGCAGGCAGAGAGTCTTAAGAAAATTGAGACCCCGATTCGGATGAAGGAGGAGTTGCCTGAGCCTGCGGACGTGATAGCGCAGCTTGGGCAGGGCAAGAAATCCGTTGACTTCCCGGACCTGGAACTCTACAACAAGCGTCGCCTCGCCTCAGTTGTGAAGAAGGCGGATGTGGTTACCATCGCCGACGGAAAATGGGTGTCAGATGCACTCATCGACTTTCACAACACGTGAGTGCCCGATGGTGAATGTCCCTCATAGTCTCTCCTCGTCTCATGGATATGCCTAAACCCTGCGGGTGTTCCTGTCTCTGCTGCCTTGCCGTTTGCTGCAGATTGCTGAGCATCCGTCAGCCTGTTCTACCCGATGGGAAGACATGGGCGGAACTTGACGCCAAGGCGTTCACATATACCAGGGCTCACGGCAAGGCTTTAGCTTCTGGAGAAGGCTTACCGCTATTGGAGCACGACTTCCTGGCGATTCCAGTGTTCCTGAAGTAAGTTTGTGATTCGTATGGTCTCTCACCCGAATATTGTTATTCACCCTCAACGAAGGTAGTCTGAGTAGTGACCAAACCCATGTTTGACTGTACCGTCGTGTTCCTAATGCAGTAATCACTACTCCTTGGTCATCGTGTGTGAGCCCTCTAAGATCTTCGAACCCGCGACGTCAGGGGATGAGAACCGCCTCGTCATGGTGCTGTACGACAGCGCACTATCCCAAACTGACGCGGCTGCCATTTTCAGCGGATGTAAACTGTAAGTTGCTTGTATAACTCTCCGCGCACCCTGTTTTTTACAACGGTTGCCTAATTTACCGCAATTGCGTTGGCCAGGGTGGTCTCCGTGTTGGCCCAAGACACCCATCCGACGGCGGATTTCACACATGTGGACCAGGTCCTCCTGGATGCCAAGTGCATCGTGCTGGGGGTGAGTTTTGATGAGCATATTGACCGCTGGTATTTTAAGCTTCTTAATCCGAATCAATGTAATGGGATGTGCGTCGTATTGTGTTTTGTGCAGGAGGAGCACTGTCCACAACAGCCAAACTCACACGACTGTGGCATTTTCGTTTGCCACTATCTTAAGAGTTTCCGGGCTGTATGCACTGGCCTCTGGTTCCAAGGTGTGAGTTCGCTGAAGTACAGGCGCGGCATGCGCGCGGACATCTGTGAGCACGCAGCAGGCGCCCTTCTGCCAAGGTTGGCAGCACACAACATCGAGATCCCGTTGCAGGAGCGGCCCTCACTGACTGGTGACCGTGCTCCCCCGCATCCTCAGCACGGTGACTGTCCCGAACGGTTCGAGCAGCTGCATGCAGAACAGCGTTCGTCGAAGCGCGAGATGGCCATACTTGAAGCGGAAGTGGCGTTCCTGGCACATGCGTTGGGATACACACCGGAGCAGGTGCGAGCTGGCGCGGTGCAACGCATTCAAGCCCGAGGTGCTTACGGTATTAGCATCCCGGTGAGCAGACGCACAAAACATGCGCCCACTACGCCTCTTCGCAATCCCGGAATCGTCGGGCTCGGTAAGGAGAGTCCTGACGAGGCCATTAATGGCACAGATACGCGGGTGTCGCTTGCTGCTAAGTTCATGGGGGTTGGAGTGCAGATGCCTGTGTCCTCGGCACCACTTCCGCATCCCGGTACAATACCACACTGGGTGGTATCCCATCAGCATACCTCGTCCGTGCAAGGCATTCCCAGTGCACAATGGGGCACCGAGGCCGGACAACCCAGCAAAGCGGCAGCTGCGCAGGGCGTGAAAGCAGGAGAGGGAGGGATTGACGAGGACCTGGAGACGGCGACTTACACCGGGGTTACCATCGAGAAGGCTACTGGAAAGTGGGGGGCAAAGATATTGTCGTGGGATGGGGATAAACGGCGGCAGCATCGGCTTGGCGCATACACGACCCCCAAAGAGGCCGCTGTGGCGTTTGCGGCAGCTGCTCATGTGCTGCGACACGGTGAGGAGATAGAGAATACCATCCCCCTGACAGATGCACAGAAGGCGTTGCTGGAGGGCTGCGACAAGGATGCGGTGGTAAAGCTCGTGGGTGCGCGCATGTGGTGGCGGTGGAAGAAGTGGCGCCAGGTGGTGCAGGAACTTGATTCCAAAAAGAGACGCCAAAGGAAGGCCCCGTCAGCTAACACACGGGGCAAGAAGAGGAGAGTGGACGGCAAGGTGGCTGGTGGCGGGGATGTTGAAGCGACGGGGAGTGATGTTGCAGGAACCAGACAAACAGAGCCGGTCAAACTCGTGGAGAACGAAGGGGAGTCCCAGGGTGCCAGCGGCAAAGAGGATGATGGGGGGGAGGATGAGAACGAAGAGGGGGATGAGGGGGATGAGGGTGATGAGGGGGATGAGGAGTACGTTGGTGAGGAGGGTGGTGATGAAGATGGATCTCAGTAGTGGTGGTTAGCGGACTTGCTGGTGCTGTAAACCCGGATATTTCTCAAATTCTTTGAATGCAGTAGCGATTTTGCTTTGTTTAGATTTTGTTTTGCTGTTTGCATGCGGATTTTGGGCAAGTTTTTTTTTCAACACCACTCCGTCCTGTGTTATTGTGCAACCGTAAATGCATATGACTTGAACAATGTGGTATGCGATTTCCGTTACGAACACACGATAAGTGTTAACGCGCCATCTTGCACGGTTGTGATTAAGTGTTGGTAGTTCTCGTTGATTGTCTACGACGTCTGACGTAGCGTGTTATCATTGGTGGTTTGGATTGCGGAAATCCTGAAGGCGGTGTGTTTACCGAATACCAAAGCTGTTTTCTGCATTTCGCAAACTGGATACTGGCACACCGTGGATGTAGATAAGGTCCTTACCGTAGTAGCTCTTCATTCACTTCTGCCATTAACGTTTTCAAGATGGAAAACTACATTGCCTCCCAAAACACCCAAACGGCTGGGAGATCCCGGAGGGAGACTAAGGCGCCAGCGTATCTGCGGGCGTCTTATCAACTGGCGGTGCCTCGGGGTCGTGGTACAAGGGGTCCCCGAGTTTCTAATATCCCGAAGAAGTTGAACTTTCCAAGGTTGAAGAAGGTCACTACTTCTGTGGAAGAAGAAGGTATGTGGTGTTTCTTTCTATTATGCGTTTAGTTTGTTGCGTTTGTTTGGTCGCTGGTGTGAAACCACATACCTCGTTTCGTTGTGTGAGAGACGGTGTGTGAATTGTCGCTCAGTTTCATGTTATGTTGGTGTATTCATATCAGAGGAATCCGAGGGGTTGGAGACCACAGAGGCGACACAACCGCACGACAGTTCTGACGCCGAAGAATCCGAATCGGCAGAGACGGCGAGCAAGGGAGAGAGCGATGAGGGCCAGGCCAAAACCAAGACCGTCGACCATGTGCTATCCGGGGCGCCCAATACTTTCAAGGAGGGCAATGATAAGCCGGCGGAAGTGTGAAGAAATGAGGAAGGGATGAATGAACTAGCAAGCAGGTGGGTACAAGTAGGAAAACCTAAAAGTGTTGTACCCCATATTGTCTACCCCACTACAGCCTACACAGACTATAGCATATGAGTTTGACACATCCCCATAGGCAAAGTGGGGGAGAAAAAGAGATCACAAGACCAGTCAAGCAAAGCAAAGCAAGCTCAGGGTGGATCACAACGTCACCACACAGTCCGAGCACAAGAGCAAGGCCACAAGGCCAGTTCACATGCAAGATCATATATAAAGGTAAACAAGCAAGTGCAGGTATAGAAAGATCACAGTACAAGCGAGGTCAAGAAGTGAGCAAGTGAGGCCAAGTAGGCACAAGACCTAGCATCGTACAGAAGCGCTGATGATCACAAGGCGGAAGTGCCTTGGTAAAGATATCAGCGGTGTTGGCCTCAGAGGCCACGTAAGCAAGGCGCAGCTGACCACGCTGCTGCAGCTCACGAGCAAGGAAGTAGCGAAGAGCAATGTGCTTCGTTCTGTGCTCCAGTCTGTGCTCCCGACACAAGGCCAGCATGGTCTTGTTGTCTACGTACAGAACTGGAGGAGAACGAGGCGGCTCTCCTAGGTCAGTCAGCAGGTAGGTGAGCCAGCGTAGCTCCTATGCAGCCATGGCCCCCCGCGTAGATCTCAGCCTCACAGCTGGAGCCGAGAACAGAAGACGAGCGGGTAGACCGCCACGAAACAGAGCCGGAGCCAAGGCTGAAGGTGTAACCCTGTGACGACCGCTGCGTAGCCTGGTCGTCAGCCCAAGAAGCGTCTGCGTGACCTGTGAGGACCACTGGACGTCGCCCTCCAAGCACTAGCCCCATGCCCGACGTACTGCACAAGTAGCGCAACACCCTCTTCGCTGCAGCCATGTGCTCTGGTCGGTGTCTCCCAGGAGCAACATAGCGTGCCAAGATGCTAAGAGGGTATGCTAGGTCAGGCCGTGTGCAGGTCATCAGGTACATGAGGCAGCCAACAAGCTCTGGGTACGGGCCACTCGGCTCTACGGACTCATCCGAAGGCAGAGCTGAGAGCGAGTGGCGAGTAGACAGAGGAGTGGCCTGAGGCGAGGAGTACGTGAAGTCGAAGCGCTGAAGGACCTGCTGCACCATGTGTGACTGAGTCAGGGTAATGGTGCGCTGTGCTCTGTCCCGGGTGATCTGCAAGCCAAGGTAGCTGCGCAGTTCACCCAGGTCTGTGCACGTGTGTCTCTTCTGCAGCTCGGCGGCGCAGTAAAGCCAGGTGGGCGGCGCAGCCAGATCTCCTCGTGCAGGCTGCCCTGCTGTGCTGAAGTCAAGAGAGTGAAGCTCGTAGTCGCGCTGAGCGGCTATGTGCAGCAGCACCCGAAGAGTGGTCATCTTCGGGGTGGGAGAGAAGGTCTGAAAGTAGTCAACTCCCTGCCGCTGACTGAAGCCTCGAGCCACGTAACGCGCCTTGAAGACAGGCGGAGAACCCGGCGGCCGCTTCACCCTGAAAATCCACATGCCACTGACGATGTTCGCCCCAGGTGGGGGAACCTCGTCAACGTAGGTGCCTGTGGACTTCCAGGAAGCCATCTCTGCGTCCATGGCGGACTGCCACTGTGAGGAGTAGGGACCCTCGATCGCCTCAGCGTACGATCGAGGAGTGGGGATGTCTGATGCATCCGGGTCTCCCTCAGGGGCAATCAGCGTGGACACGAGATGAGGCAAAGCAGCAGCAAAACACTGGAACTCCTCCTGCCTGTCCTCAAGGACGTCCGTGCTAAGAGCACACTCACCCCCGACGGACGGAGGACAGACAGACTCAGACTCAGCAACAAGACTAGCAGCGTAGTCTAGACGACAGCGAGCAGCAAAGTCGACAAGCTCAGCAACTAAGGCAGACGCAGCAGTGGACTCAAAAGAAGGGTCAGTGACAACAGTAGCCAGGAGACGCGTGACAGTAGGACTGGCAGCACGAAGAGAGTCAGACTCCGGGTCAGCAAGAGGAGGAAGAGAGGACTCTGGAGGAGACGGCAACGGGACACGCAGAGGAGCAGTGGAAGGACGCAGTGCCATCTGGTGTGTGCCGGGGACCGCAGGAGGACGCGGACGCGGAGCACGACCACTAGTGCGAGCAGCACGAACAGGCGACGCAGGACGAGACGCAGGCTCACGACGCTCAGCAAGACCTCCAGTAGGACCAGTGTAGGGAGAAGGAGCAGGTAGGGGGGAGGCGGGCTGTAACTGTGACCGCGACTGGACAGGCTGTGGACACTCTAAGGGAGGAGCAGGACCAGTAGAGGGCGGGAGACCAAGAACCTGCTCAAGGAGCGGAACGAAGTACGGCCTCGGCCGCGCAGCGCCTCCAGAACCAGCAGGGACAGCACCAGTACCCCCAGCGGCAGCACCAGCGCCAGCAGCACCTCCAGCTCCAACAGCGCCAACTCCAGCACCCTCAGAAGCACCAGCGCCAGCAGAACCACCAGCGCCAACACCCCCAGCAGCTCCAGCTCCAGCAGCTCCAGCAGCTCTTGCAGCACGAACTCCAGCAGGACCGTCAGCTCCAGTACCGCCAGCAGCTCCAGCAGTACCTCCAGCAGGACTAACTCCAGCAGCCCCAGCAGCACCCCCAGTCCCAGCAGCTCCAGTACCGCCAGTACGAGCACCTCCAGGACCAGCAGCAACAGTGGTACCTCCAGCTCCAGCAGCACGGCTCCAGCGGCGGGCAAACCACTCGCGCAGCTCCTGCGGAGAGAGTAGCTCCCGCCTCGACGAAGCAGACCCAGCACCCCCAGGCTCCGCACCCCCAGGCTCCGCACCCCCAGGCTCAGCACCCCCAGGCTCAGCACCCCTAGACTCAGCACTCCCAGGCTCCGCACCCCCAGGCTCAGCACCCCCAGACCCAGCACCCGCAGGCTCAGCACCCCTAGCAGCACCAGAGTCAACAGCTACCTCGACAGGCTCGACTGCGTCTACCTGGGACACACCTGACGGGGCAGGACCCTGAGGGGGGAGAGGGTCTACCGAGGGAGGACCTGGCGCAAGGAAGAGCGGCGGCGGGGGGAGGGGCGCAGTGCGGTAGGGGAAGAGACGGTAGTAAGGCACCGACTCGTCAAAGGTGACGTCCTGGGAGGACAGAACACGGCGCGAGGTGGGGTGGTAAAACTGCCAACCAGGCGCGTCAGGGGGGAAGCCAAGGAAGACGCAGGGAACAGCACGGGGGGACAGCTTGTCCGCAGACAAGTCGCGGACAAACGCCCGAGATCCCCAGACCCGAAACGCAGATGCATCGCCAACCTTCCCCGTCCACCGCAAGGTGGGGGAGGTCTCTGGCAAGGAGACCCAGGGCTGAAGGTTGAGCTGATGCGCTGCGTACTGAACCGCAAACGGCCACAGAAAATGGGGAGCAGCCGCATGGATCATGGACGTACGAGCGACGTCCATGACCATGCCAATGCGGCGCTCAGCAATCCCATTTTGCTGTGGAGAGGCCGGAAGCGTGAAGGTCTGGCGGATGCCCTGTGCACGACAGAAGGCTCCCAGACGGGCAGAGGAAAACTCCCCGCCTCTGTCAGAGTGCAGACGCAGAACAGGAAAGTCCGAGCCGAAACTCTCTCTGAGCTGGAGACGAGCTGCGCGGATCCAGTCGATCAACACCTCAGTGACGTCACCCTTGCTGCGCAAGGGGAACACCGTGGTGTAACGCGAGAAGTCGTCAACCACCAACAAGAAGTAATGCTCGTGACCCTGGCCACGGACGTGGGCGGGGGGACCTCCAAGACGGAAAATTGCCTGCTCCATGATCTTCACAGGTGCGGCTGTTTTCGAGTCTCGGGGCTACAAACGTCCGAAACGAGGTTTTATTCGGGTGGCCCATGTTCAAATACACCTTCCAAAACAACTTCAGCTTGGTTCGCGCGCACCGAAAAGTTCGGCGCCCGCGATGATGGCCGTGCCTGCCGACAAATGCTAAGGAAGCGCGTGGATCCGTACAGGCGTAGGGAA